ATATTAAGGAGTGGACGAATTCTATGGGAAAGCCCATGAGGAAATCGTCCAAGGCCTTAAGGAAAGGAATCTATGGGTTACTTAGGGTTTAAGCATCCAATTTAGGGTTTCCTTGTTAGATAACCCTAATAGCCTTACTATATATAGAACCCTTATAGACCCAAAAACGTGGCTAAGCTTTGTTCTAGGGTTTCACACATTTTTGGGCAGCCTCCATCCTCTCTCTTCTTCATCCTCTTGCTCTTGGTGTTTGTGAACCATTAGAGGAGTGACATTTGTGACTCTAAGCTTTCTAAAGTCAATACAAGGAGGAATTGAGATTGTTATTGCTACATAACAATCAAGGTATGATCTAAACCCTAATTATATGTTATATTGATTATCATATGTTAGATATAGGGTTTATAGTCTTGGATAACTTGCATGTACAGTAGAGAAACCTAGATCCAAGCATTAGGGTTTGTATGAGCACATAGGATGTTCTTATGACCAAAACCCATCATATATAGGACCCATTGGGCATCAATTTTCATGGTTCTCTCTTCTAAGAGGGTTATGAACGAAATTCTTCTTTCTCCTCAAGTGTCTTCTAGTTCTAGGGTTTGGGTGTAAGACATTAGAGACATCATCCTTTTGGTGCTAGCTTTCCAAGCTCTTCAAATGAAGGATTGAAGTAACTTGTTTGCTACAACAAGTTAGAGGTATGTAAACCCTTAACATAATTTCTTATTTTCGAAATTCATTAGGGTTAGGTAGGTTTAGTTGTTCATTGTATGTTGTTTTCAATGTGTATGACATAGACCTTTCATAGGATGCATGTACCCTATTAACTGTTAATTGTTTTCCTCATTGTACATGTTTTGTTTTCTATAAAACCCACCATATGCTTCGGGTGTTAGTGATTGAGAAACATGTGTTTTTGAAAGATTTTAAAAATTCCATTAAAGACAATATTTTAAAAATAATACTTTTTTACTTGGTTTTGGTCAATATTTTTTAGCAGCCTCTACATATGATAAATAAGTTGGGGAAGGACTTGATACAATGATTTTCTTGAAGTTGAACGACAAGTTCCTAGTAGAGTCAGTATGGACAATTACGAACTCTTCTCCCTTAGTCTTCGAGGAATCTAAAATACCGTTGTGTATCTGAATCTCATCATAAACAACTTCGTACTCAAATCCAGACTATAAAGTCCCCATAATTTGTCTAAACGGAGTCTTTTCGATCATTGTCCCTAAAGTTTTGGGGATAATTTCCAAAATAACATGATTTTTGTTAAGGCTTTGTAATTTATTTAGGTGAAATCATCTTAGACAAAAAGTGGTTTTCTTCTTGTATTAGATGAATTGTCGTTTTTTATAAACTTGACTATTGTTATGTTACAAACATAGACATGGTTTAACACCGTAACGAGAGTTTCAAGTACATAGACTCTCTGATACATACGGAAGGGGTGTAGAGGATGGTGTTACACACCACACAAAGTATGATGGTTAAAATAAATGGCAACGATAGGAGTTTTTGTACGACAAGAATGTGTCATTGAAACTAAAAGGGAAATTTTATAAGTTTGTGATAAGGTCGTCTTTGTTGTATGGATCTGAATGTTTCTCGATTATAAAGAAACATGAGAGGAAGATGGAGGTTGTAGAAACGAGAATGTTAGTGTGGACATGTGGTGGAATATTATTGGACAGGATACCAAACATGCCATTCATACCAAACATGTCATTCAGGAACTCATTGGAGGCATCAATCATCGATAAATTAAAGGAAAAAATGACAATGGGTTGGACGTGTCTAAAGGACACGATTGATGATTGTTATTATAAAAGTGGAGACGATTACAATCAAGTGGGCATGGATGAAAGGTTGCCTGGTGTGACATCCCCAAAATCACGGCCAGAAAAGACCGATTTTGTTTATGCTTTATAAAAATCAGAGTACTTCATTTTATAAAAAGGTTGCGGAATTTGTTCCCAGAAAAACATGGTAAATACGTTATTAAAACATTTTCGAAGAAACGTATTTATTTCATTTTAAAACATTTGGGATGTCATCGTTAATACAGGAACATAAGCATAAACAGAACTTACAATTATTCACACTAGTGGTCTACATCTCTTTAAATCTCTCAGTGTAATGTCACTTCATATCAACATCTGTGATATAAATAAACTGAGTGGGTCAGGTTGGGAAACCTGGTGAGCACATAGGGATTTCAATCCCACAATGTTATACCATATATATAGTTTAAAATTCACAAAATATACAATCTCACCATACATATATATATATAAACAACTCTTATCCCACCCCGTCGATCCTCGCAACGAGGCTATCCATACTCTCGGACCTAAGATTAGTCGTTTTACCTCCTCCATACTCTCGGATCAGAAATGAACGAATTTACCAAATCCATACTCTCGGACTAGGGACGAAAGACTAATCCATACTCTCGGATTAAAGATGAATGATTATGCCTAATCCATACTCTCGGACTAGGGACAATAGTTAATCCATACTCTCGGATTAACGACGAATGATTATGCCTAATCCATATTCTCGGACTAGGGATAATGACTATGTCTAATCCATACTCCCGGATAAGTGACATATACTAACTTCTATTCTCTGAGTTTTACTCACTTGTACTCGTAAGAATATACTACCCAATATTCCTCATTTTTAATTTAGGTCTACTCTTTATCCTAAATTATCAAATATAATCAGGTATGTTCTTTAACACGAATTTCAAGCAACATCAATTAACTCGCACATAAACATATAATTAATACTTCAATCAATACTTGTATTAAAATCATGTTCATGAAAGGGACTATGCACTCACCTGAGAAGGTGGTGACTCGGTACTCGGACAGCGCTTCGTTTACTTTAAAATAATTTCCTTCGACGAAACCTAGTATTATCACCAATAGATTTTAGTTTATTATTCGCCGAGACTAATTAATAGTCTAGCTATTATTACTATTATATAAGCGTTAAAAAAATACTTACATAACCCATAATAATAGCCCAAGTATTTATTATATGTTCTTAATAACGTTAATATAATTAAATAAAAACTATATTAAAAATAGCATAGGCGTAGCTCACTTACAGCGGGTTTTATAGAAAACCAGGCTTTGCTTGGAGCAGCGTTTCTGAGCCGAATAGCTCTTCTTCTCGGAGCCGTCGAGCACTCCAGGGCTTCCGCCTCGTGCTAGGGAGGTTCCCTAGGCTTTTCGGGGGATTTCGGGGCTAGAGAGAGGTTCTAGAGAGAGAGTAAAGAGAAGAAAGAATGGGAAAGGTGTGAAGAAAATGAGGGTGGGAGAGGTGGTATTTATAGGGTGAAAATGGCTGAACTTGGTGCCACATGTCACCATCTAGTGGCAAGACTTGGGGAGAAAGCAATGGCCAAGATTGTGCCACATCACCCATTTTCGCACAACACACTTCCGACTTCTAAAATCCGTAACTTTCACATACGACCTCCGTTTTTGACGTTCTTTATATCTACGCGTAGGTAAAAATAATATCTACAACTTTCATTTTGACTCCGTCAGCTAATTCTCGACCGATCTTAAATTTAACAGTACGAGGCGTTTAGACTGTTAAATGACCGCGAAGAATCCGTAACTCCTTCATACGGACTCCGTTTTCATCTGTCTTTTTACCGTTGAGTTCCTATTAATGAGATCTTCAACTTTCATTTATTTCACGTAAGCCAAAAACCGCTCGAACTAAAATTCGAGTTTCGGACTGTACACTGTTAAGCCGAATCTTAGAAAAATCATAACTTCCTCATACGAAGTCAGATTTGGACGTTCTTTTTATCGACGCTCTTAGTTTAACATATTCTACGACTTTTGTCTAGATTTCTAAGGATAAAAAGTCTTCTATCGTAAATTCACTATTTACGTCTTCCGGTGTCGTGTCGGTTTTGCCGTAAAACTTCGGCGGGCCATAACTTCTTCATTATAACTCGGATTTCGGCGTTCTTTATATGTACGGAAACCTTGTGACATATTCTAAAACTTGGTTAAGACTATTCATTCTAAATAATCTTTTGTCGAAAAGTCATTTTTGACCCCTATTGCCTCTAAATTGACTAGCCCGGATCTGCGGGCGTTACACCTGGAAGTAGAAAGAGAGTGTGAGCTTAAGCTTGAAGGATTAATCTTATTTTGAGGACATGTCTTATAATCAGATAGTATTTGTGTAGTATAGAATCTACATGCCTTATAAAGATAGTATTTGTGTAGTATAGAATCTAGCAATCTATCCTTATTTTATTTGTTTAGACTAGTGCTTGATATCATTAGTTGTTTGTCCTCATGTTTTCTTGTTGACATTTGCTCCACTTTATGTGAGGTTATTTTAGCTCAGTGGATCCTCCTCCCAAACAAACATCATTGTTTTATTCTTTGTGACATGACGTTTTTAATTTATTCATATCTCAATTTTTTCAGAAGCTTTCTACGAAAGCATTCTCTTTTACCAGGACTACTACTATCGTATCTCCCATTTATCTCATGAGCACTGTTTTCAAAACCGGACCGGACCGGCCGGTTAAACCGATTCAACCGAAAACCGGTCAGGCAACCAGTTCTTTAGAACAAAAAAAACCGCCTAAAAACAAACCGGTAAGAACCACTGGTTCAACCAAAAACCGGTAGCGAACCGGACTGGTCAAAACGGAAAAAACCGGCAGACAAAAAAATTATAAAACTTTAAACTTGATAAAAACAAATAGGACACACCTTTTATGGGGGGTCCATGCTCTGGTTTATGAACCATTTAGGCTTTTAGCTTCCATTCCTTTTTTATAAAGCTTTCAAGGCTTCGAAGTTATATTTTTAGGCGATGTGGGATATAGCCTCTAAACAATCACCTGGCTTCATCTCACTTTCAAATGATTACCCATAATTCTTTTATTTCTTTGTTCAAATGTTTCAAATTACCTAACATTTTTTTTTTTGCATGTGATCACCAGCCTAGCTGGTTGTGATGCATCCTGGGTTATAGTCTTCAGTGGGTGATGTCAAGAATTCGATTCTTGGCTGAGCACATTTGAGGGATTTTCCTTGAATTGGCGTGGGTTCGATTCTTCGTTCCATTTGGTGGTGAGTGGTGCCCCTCTTGATGGCCCGCCAGACATTCCTAATCCATCGAGTCGGGTTACCATCTATCTATTTGCCGATTAAAAAAAAAACAAATCTAAACAAAACAAAACTAACATATTTTTTTTATTTTTAGTTTTTACGTTACCTTGATAATATATTTTAAAAAACTCAAATATAAATTATTAGAATTTGGTTTTTGTTGTTTATTTTAAAAGTTTAAAATTCATGATATTATCTTTTATATATATATATATATATATATATATATATATATATATATATATATATATATATATATATATATGACGTTGTCCGGTTCATCCGGTTTTTTAGACCGGTTCGATGTCCGGTCCGGTTTTCAAAACATTGCTCATGAGTGATGAGACTTGGATAATGTTCTTATCGATAAGATTTTACATAAATCTTGAAAAAAAAAAACTTATTAAAATTTGTGATTAGTATGATTGTCATTTTTTCTATTATTTTAATATTTTGATGGTTTGGTTACATTATACTCTTGCCGTGGTTTCCGCTTATTTAATTTTTAGTAAACAATTGCACTTGTTTAAGGCAAATAAATAAATAAATTTGTATGTAGTGTGCCATTGTGGTCATGACTTCACGGATTAGTGTTCACGTGCAAATACACGCGTGCGGGCTTAACTAGTTTGTTTGGTTTATTTTGGACGCTCCGTTGAATCTTCTGCCCACTGCCATTTGCCACCTTTTCGAAGCTTAATTTGTTTATTTAATATTATCAATAAATCAAATGAAAATCGGTAATAATTCAACCGTAGATTTATTAATGTCACCCATGGTAAATAAAAGAAATTCGATTAATTATACCGAATTTAATATGTGATCATTTTCTATTCGTAAATAAAATGTTTATATTAACCAAAATAAGTAACATCATTTTTTTTCTATTTTTTTTATGCTAACCTGAAAACAAACAACATTTTTTTTATGCTAACCTGAAAACAAACAAGATAAATATCATGTCACAAAACATAACTTCTTTGAAAAAAACTGATATTTTGATAAATCTAAAAGGTAACTAAAAATGTAAGGATTTTTTATATACAAACAAAATCTAAGGTTTTTTCTTAAATTCTGTTTTACTACAATTTACCCTTAAAAGAAATTAATTTAATGATAAATGGGTCTGAATGAGTACAAACATATCGCCCCAATAATTTATTCAATTTCCAAAATTATATTTAAAACATATAGATCCAAATTCAAACGATCATATAGCAATATTCTGTTAACCAAGGTGGCGTGATTGAAGTGACTTACACGGTTGGATTAGTTCAATAATCATATTTAATACTAATTGCAAATAAAATAATTGGTATCGATTTCGAAAATGGTCAAATGAAAGGGATATGTCCCCTAGTATTGTCGATTACTCGATTTTGATAGCTTAAAATACACTTAAATCAAAAACCATAACGACATCGATCCTGCAATTAAATTCTAATTTAAAATCAGCTTGGGCTTCAAAGCTTTTGGGCTTTTAAACAACTGTCACTTGGGCTTACCAGTTTATCGATAAATTCGGAAATTCCATTTTTGTCAAGTTATGTACGAAATTGAATTTCTTATCAACCTTAATTAATATCGGGTCAACCAAGTAAAAACCGATTGGTGAGAAACTGGATCGGACTCAACCCGAAAAAATCCAAATCTGTACTGACTGATTCATTCATGAATATAATCGTAAACCTTGAAGTCACTGTATATGAGTTGATTATTGGAATAGTGAAGCATGTAATAGCAAATCCCACAGAAAAAGCAAGGATTCTCGGGAGTATACTTGTCATCCACAGTGACCTTCGTCGCTTTGTAGATCTTACAGATCGAGCACTTTTGGAATCGCAACTTGGATTGAAACATAATCAAGGGATACGCAGCTCGATTCTGTACATCCTCCCTCCTATCTATCACCCTCATGTCTCGTATCACCATCACATGCTTACAATCACCCTATCATATACATATACACGCATCTCATATGTGAATTTATGTCATGTATGTATGTATGTAATAGCATGTTGAGATTAATTTTTGATACCTGATGACAGTAAAGATAGCCAGCTCCAAGTCGGAAATTTAGGTCACAAAAACGAGTTGCTTGCATTGGAAGAGGTTTGAAGCGAGGCAACTTGGGAGCAATTCCACTTCCACTTCCTAAAATTTGCTTTTGTTTCTGATGCAGTTCACCTGATATGATGGATTCCCATTTTTCTGATGCAATCTTCTTTGATTCTCTAATCCAATCGAGTATGGGTTTACTGTAGTCTACAGCGTTTATTTTCCTTAAATCGTTGTAAAATATATCCTACGATTACAAAAACATAATTAATTACCAATAATATATTTATGTATGAGTATGAAACTATGAATGTAGAGAGTTAGTTACTTCTATGAGGAAATATCCAGATGGAGTATGCTTTTTGGTTAACTTCATAATTTCATCAGTCAAACAGTATATTTTGTCTCTCAGTTCTGTTAATAATTGGCGTCCAAGAACCAAAATTTCTTGATTCTACAAACAAACAAATTCCAAATTCCAAAACATTATAATAATTACAAAGATATGTTATAAGAGAAGGTTTGTTTTGTAATTTTGTTAATGTTTACCTTAACCCATGAGCGTTTGTGATTATAGACCTCTATGCAAAGAAGGATCTCATTATCATCTATAGGTATTGGTATTTGTTCACGTGTGCTTGATGATTTCACCTGATAAATATGGCTATTATGGTTGGAGTTGATAAATGATAAGAGTTAATAAATAAATAAATAAAGGTAAACCTGTTGTGTCAAATAACTTGTAGAATTAAAGGATGACATTCGTTCTTTCTTCTCTGAGGGAGTCACACATGCAACGGGTCCCGAAACACCACTGACTCAAACCATATTAATATTATTATTATAAATATAAATTTATCAATTTTTTCTACCATAAATAAAAACATACCTAAAAGAATGCAATCTTGCAGCTGATTTGTCTTCTTCTTGTTTTTGTTTAATTCTAGCAACTTTCTCCACCTCTTCCATATAATCTTCCTGAAAATGCATACCAACCAAAATGAGGGTTTAATTCTTAAATTTTTTTCACTACAAAATGAGGGTATCTTAGTTTTTTAATTTTTTTTTTTTAAAAGTATTCATCAATCATGATGGAATATTAAGGATTCTGAAATGAGAAGGAATGGAATAAACAAGAGCCTTACTTCATGAGTTGTCTCCTTTTGTTTCACTCTTTTCATCTTCTTGGATACCTTTCCATTCATCTTTCTGTTATCAAGGACTCTGCAATCATTCAATTTGAAAATGGCGGAATCACTTATCCTATCCATCATTTATTTTATATTTGTAAGAAGTGGATGTATAAAAGGTTTTAGAGACACCTTTCTTACCCATTAGAGCAATCTTCAGATGAAAGTGAATGATCTTTTGTCAAGTTACCATCCTGCAATAAAATTCACAACATCATGTGTTACAAAAAAATAATATTTATTATTTATAATACAAAAAAAAAAAAAAAAATTATTATCATACCTTGAGTGATGCTTGGAATGCTATATCTACCAACTCCTCCTCACTCAGGATTTTAAGTTCATCAACCCTATAAAAGACAACCAGACCAAAACAAAAACCCTTGATGAGATTTATAGAAAACTAATTTAAGTAAAATAAGAGTGAAAGTGTTGAAAAGCAACTCACGAAATTTCATGATGATGTTCTTCAGTCAATTCCAAGCACAACTCCTTTCTCAGATCCTGCAAAATAACATAATTATTGTTGCTTCATTTCATTTATAAGTTAGTTAGTTTCAAGAATTTAGTACCTTGAGTTGATCTTGAATGCATGACTGGAATTGAGAAACACTAGTGAGGGGACCCACCATGTCTGCAATGTATATAGGACCACCACGAGGAATTGAAACAAACACATCTTCACAACAACAAGAAGAAGAAGAAGAATCTCCCAATTCCATTGTCTTCCTCCACACTAAATCCCTGTGGTTGGAGCCCTCTGTGTAAGCACATGAATATTGCATTATCTAGATGATGAAATCGATGAGTTACATTTGAGCAAAAAACTATTTTTAACTGAACCTTTGGATACTGGTAGAACTTGGGTTTCTAAACCTTTTAGAAAGGGGCTTATGTGTTTATTCTGATGAGATTGGAGTATAATTTATGGAATAAATTTTGGGATTCATATGTATATATTTAAGTGCAGGTGTTCATATGTAACATTATCCTTACATATGTGGATGATTCATTGTTTACTTCTAATTTTGTTTCAATAACATACCTTTTGTCACGCCTTTTTATTCGTTAAGATGAGAAGGGCATAGCGAAATCAGCAAACGACGATTTCAAAAAAAAATCTTTTATTTTTCAGGCATTTTATCAAACACCTTGTGTGCTTTATGAGTTTCTTCAAATTTCTGTAATGCTAATCAACACTCATAGACTTAGAATGCAGTAGTAACTATAGCAGGTAGTATCGTTGGTATGACTTATAAAGGCAAAATAGAATTCAAGGAGTAATCAACACATACCTGATTTAAAAACGTAGAGATAATATGCAGACGTTATTAGAGAGGGATACGGGAGCTGTGATGATCAGCAACGCATAAGTTTGAAATGTGGGGAAGAAGATGGGGAAACAATTTTAAAATACGAAAACATAAGAAAGTTGAGAAAGTATACCTGATATCAGAAGAGATAGCAAGAAGATGGTGTAGCTGCTTCACGGAAAGGAAATTGTGATTCACTGTGACTCATCTGTCGGAAATATGGGGAAGAAGATTTGGAAAGAACGTGGAACATATGAAGCTTTTGGTGACCGGCAGATGTAGGGAGTCAGAGAGTTGAAATTTGAGGAATTTCCCTAAAATTTGTCAATTATCGTTAACCTTCTTTCGAGAGGTTTAGCAAAGAAAACTTTTCTTTGCTAAACCCAAGTTCTACTGGTTCTATATTATCTGGACAGAAACAAATAACAGGTTCTATATTATCTGGACAAAAAGAAATAACAGAAAGAAATCTGAACAGAAAGAAATAACAGATTTAAATCTTAAATAACAGTTAATGAAATAACTGGTTCTGCTGCACAATGCACATATACATATAATTATCTATACGAAAAAGATAATCATTACTGAAATAACAGAAAGAAATAACATATTCAAAGCTTAAATAACAGATGCAAAGCATAAATAACAGTTAATGAAATAACATGTTCTGTTGCATCCATGTTCTTGAGAAAAAAACACAACCACATGTTCTTGAGAAAAAAACACAACCACATAATTTGTAGATAGAAGGTAATATGTTAAGCTTGAGTTTGGAAAGAAGGTTTAAGGTATTTTGGGGATAATCAGTGTAAAAGCAATAATGGCTGTAAAAGTCACGCTTGGTTCTGTTCCTTCCTGTGTGTTCTGATTTATTGCAAATCACACAGCAAGAAATTTTGACCGATAATTAGGGTTTGATCGATAACAAGGAATCACAGAATGGTTTGATCGATAATAATGGCAGTAAAAATCAAGCAGAAAATCAGAAAATATAGCTATATGATCGATAACCTAAACTAAAAAGGAACACAAAGTAAGGAATTTTGATGGATGAAAAACATTACCGTGATGATTGTCGATTGATGAAGAAAAATAGAAATCGCCCAGTCGCTATGATCGATACCGTGAACTTGTGATGAAGGAATCGGCCAATCGATATGTTATGACTTCTGATTTCTGAAGAGCTAAGTCTGTCGATGTGCTCTACAGTGTTTGTGCTCGAATTAGGGTTTGATCGATAACAAGGAACAACAATCTGCGCTTGAAATTTATAATCGTAGTCCGTAGTCCGTAGATGGAGATTGAAGAGTCGATTCGGAAGTCGGAAGAGTGAAGATGAACCGAGGGAACTTTTATTGGAACTTTATAAAGTCATTAAACCAAAAGACGCTTCACTTAAACGTATATATATATATATATATATATATATATATATATATATATATATATATATATATATATATAATCGTAGTCCGTAGTCCGTAGATGGAGATTGAAGAGTCGATGGAATATGAATCGGAAGTCGGAAGAGTGAAGATGAACCGAGGGAACTTTTATTGGAACTTTATAAAGTCATTAAACCAAAAGACGCTTCACTTAAACGTATATATGTATGTATATATATATATATATATATATATATATATATATATATATATATATATATATATATATATATATAAATAATCGTAGTCCGTAGTCCGTAGATGGAGATTGAAGAGTCGATGGAATATGAATCGGAAGTCGGAAGAGTGAAGATGAACCGAGGGAACTTTTATTGGAACTTTATAAAGTCATTAAACCAAAAAACGCTTCACTTAAACGTGTATATATATATATATATATATATATATATATATATATATATATATATATTATATATATATATATATATATATATATATATATATATATATCTTTACTACTTATAAAAGAAATCTAATTATTTCTATAAATAGATTGAATATAATAATATTATTTTTTTAAGACGTACAAATGATTAAGCTAATATTACAAACAACCATTAATAAAATAATATTAAATTTTAAATTTGTTTTGATTCCTTATATTTCTCAGCAAAATCCTAATTTCATGGTCATTCAAAATTTAAAACCTTTTCATCCTAATACGATTATCCTTTAAATGTTGCATTTGCAGCTGATTAAAATATCTCATAGCAGACGTGTGTTTGTTCTCTCCACCTTATAAACCCTGCTATAAATCCCACTGCCATGAAGTATTTCCCTTATAAACCCTAATCGTTTTTCTCCCTCTCTTAGACGAAGACAATGTGTTTTTTTTTAAGAAAAAAAGTTTGAAAATATTCCAATTTCTCAAAAAAATTTACCCCAAATGCGAAACTGGGTAAAATTTTCCATTTTGCGAAGACTACAGGGATGCGAAATGAAAATTCTGCACTTTTGTCTTTTTATGACCCCATTTTGCGAAGTTGGACCACTTATATTATTTCTTGAAAAGATCAGGTGTCAAATGCGAAACTCTAAGCTTTCTTCCCCAATTCGCATTTATACATTAAAAACTTCGCATTTGGCACCCATCCGTCTTTGAGTTCATTCGCATTTCATCGCATTAACTGAGAAATTAATCAGTTGTCTCATATTCGCATTTCAGTTGTTTGAGAAACCCAGATACGAACCCAAATGCGAAACCCACTGATTTCAAATGCGAACCAACCAAAAATCATCAACCACGTACTTGTGTCACCAAATGCGAACTGAATATCACCATTAAATTCTCCTCGCATTCTATAGATGCGAACACAATCCAGATCTCCGACTCCAAGCTTGCGAAATCAAAATCAATTAACCTCAAACAAATCGTGAACTTCTTATGCGAACTGTTTTGACCCACAAAACCAAATGCGAACTCAATTGATGTCATATGCGAACTGATTTCATAGATGCGAACACAATTGATTTCATATGCGAATCCACATCCATCGATATGAAACCAATACCAGTTACAAGCAATTAGTAGCAACCATCGATCCTCTAATGAGGAAACAGTTTCCTATTCGATTGTGCTTTGCAATGACAATCAATAAAGCTCAGGGACAAACAATTCCATATGTAGGTATCTATCTTCCAGAACCAGTATTCTCGCATGGACAACTTTATGTTGCATTGTCCAGAGGGGTTTCACGTTGCAATACAAAAGTATTAGTAAAGCCTAACGAAAATTCAAAAGGTGATGGGGTTTATACAGCAAATGTGGTGTATAAAGAACTATTGCACGATTAATATTTTGTGTCGTCTTGACTGGTTGCTTTTTATTGGTTATTTGATGCATGATGTAACAAATAACACCATAGTTTGATTATATTGTCTTCAACATGTACTTTTTTTTAACATAACAATTTTGTAATGGAAACATATCACCGAAAGAACTCACGTGCCCCACCGCTTTGCGCGGGTAGACGGCTAGTGTATATATATATATATATATATATATATATATATTCAAATATATTATTTAATAAAAGCGTAAGTCGGTTGTATCTCGTGTCAAACTCGTTTTTATTGTCGTGTTATATGTGGGCTTTTAATCGTGTTTGAGTCGTGTTACTTTCGTGCCAATTTCGTGCTAATTTCGTGCCGTTTTTTTAACACGAACACGACACGACGTCGTGATTTTTTTTCCTAACACGAACACGACACGAACACGAATTCGAATTTCAATTTCGTCCCAATTTCGTTTCGTGTCGTTTTTTCTTGTCGTGTCGTGGCATGTTTTGACAGGCCTAAAGAAAAGTGTAAATTACACGGATGGTACTATGTTCTATGGTAATTTGTGTGTTTGGTTCCTAATTTATTTTTTTTTTCTATTCAAATAAGAGTCTTTTTAGGTAAGACAAGGACCAAACGTGTAACGAAAACAAACAGTAGGGACCAAGCGCGTAACAAAAACAAATAGTAGGGACCTCCCGAGTTAAAAAAATAAGTTAGGACCAAACGCGTAAATTACCCCAAACCATAGGTACCATTCGTGTAATTTACTCCAAAGAAAAAGAAAATATGAGAAAAGAAAAGAAAAGAAAATAGTAGAGAAAAGAATAGAAAGGAAAAGAAAATAAATTTGTATTTCGTGTTCCCGAGTCGGAGAGAAGTGAAAAGAAAGTTAAATGTTTTGTTCTTTCTCTCCAAATCCGTCCAAATTTGAAGGAAAGTTAGGAGGGAAAGTGACCATTCTATTTACTTTCACTTCCTTCCTTTACACCTTGCTCCCGAGTTCAACTTAAGGAGAGAAAAGAAAGGAATTTGGCGGAAGTGAAAGGAAAGTAAGAGAAATTGGTGTTCCCGAGTTTCATTAAAGAAAGGAAGTGGAGGGAAATGAAATGATCACTTTCCCTCCTAACTTTCCTTCCGATTTGGAAGGATTTAGAAAGAAAG